GTTCTTAATGGCCAAGTTTCTGCACCGTATAACAGAACTGGCCGAAACGCCGCAGCATACACTCAACCTTTAACGGACAACCGGATGTCGCGGCTGCGCCATGGATGGTGAAATACAAGGGAAGGGAGAGAAGGAGAACCAAAATAAATTCAGAAAGAAAGATGACGTTTAATATCGAGGCATGCAATGCTAAGATGTGAGTAAATGAAAAGTGTTCAACTGAAAGACAAGGGTTAACTTGAAATGATTGAAGGAAATACGGTTATTGAAGCCCGAATTAGAATCAGTGCTTTCAATGGCGGGGTGATGTAAAAGGAACCGATCTAGGTTAGCTTCATAAACAAATAAGTGGAATGCGTTTCACCAGGTGTGATACAATGGACATGCTAAAATCGGTACCGCCACATCGTAAGCGAAGCAACATTCCTTCCCGGAATGATAAACCTTAAAGTCTCAAAATTTATCCCGATCAACCGAGTCATTTGTGCGTGTAAGGTAGAGCGTCTCTGTAAGGTAGAAATTGAAACAAGTTTGCGGTCCGATGAATCAGTCAAATCGAGGAGAGAAGTTAGTGGATGGGGATAACAAAATGTTCGCTGATATGTACGCGATTGTGAGCGCGTTTGAAAATCATTTGACTTTTATTGTAGATCAGAATGGATGATTTCGCTTAGCGTCCAATCATCGCAAAGCTAATCAAGGTCTAAGGGCAACCTTGTTTGAGGGTATGAAAACCCCTATCAAGGAATTCGGTAGCACTGGAATTTCTGATAGGAGACCTCGTGGCTATCGTATTCACTGGCTAGCGACACAGTGGTATTCCTTAATTTCGTGTACAATAACTCTGCTCCATCTAGGTACTTCCTTCTCAAAACCGGTTTAATTATGTTCTTTTTGATCGCACTCTCAACTTTTAACACTTCAGTCCTTCCTCATCGATCTACCCAATGGACATGGAAATAAAGAAATGAGAACCATCTCATAATAGTGTAAGGCTGTTGGTTGTGCAAACGGAAGGTGTAAACCTCACGCCCATTGACTGTCCCTTCTGCATAGTGTGCAAGCCCCTCTCTATTTTAAGCATAATAATCTCCAAGGGTAGCGAGGATGCGGTTTTAGGTCATCCTTCTTCACGCTCCCAATGCTTACAGACATAACTTTAGTTGGAGTAAACACCCCGTTTCGCGTAAAAATAAACCAAACAAAAGAAGCGGTTAAAGGAAGTCAAACCGCATCAGTTGTACTCACCAGCACAAAAGATGAAGACAAAGATGCAACTTGTGACTATATATATATATATATATTCAATACGCAACCAATTACAGAGAACTGGCAAATGTGCCACAACATATGAACAGAAAGAAATTTGAATAATGTGTTCATGGGTTGTGTGGGCATGTTACTTCCCGGTTGTCGTGGCCGAGGAATGGGGATAGCCTCTGGATCCCCTCCTGAAACCTTTGGCTAGAAAACCATACCTGCAAGCCAACAGGACGAAGCTCAGAGTCCGCAGTCCATTGGGGGCCGGTGTCCAGTTCACTGAATCATGCGTCCTTTGGACGGGGTCAAACGTCCGAAATGCCCGGTACACCTCGATGCCCAATTGAGCCGGTGACCACTGCCGCGATCAGGAAGGTTTGCGTGTGGTTCTTACGCCTCTTCTTGGTTGGTTTGGAATCATGGTTTTAGCCAACTCCCCTAAGTGAACTGCCAATGGTTCACCAACCCGGATATCGGCTTCGCGTCCTCTCTCTTTTTGATGGGAAAACACCTCCGCCACGAGAAGACAGTGAGTTGGGCTTCATCAGCAGAGATTATTTGAGACGCTTGGTCATATAGGAGCATTTCGCGAGGTGCAAGGAAATGGTGACCAGTCACAATCCCAGACACCCACCCCGACCATACTGAGGCTTTGGAAGACTTGTGACAACAGATAACCATGTGCGCAAAAATCAAATTTGGACCCGCAAAAACTGCAGAAAATAGGATGATACTGTCGAGTGGTATCTAAGGTCGGAGAGATCTCGGTTTCAGTCAAATCAATGGTTCGCTTGCAGCATCTCTTTTACGGTTCAGACGGTTTACTTTCACTTTCGTACAACTATTCCATGCAAAACAATGAATCGGCTTCATGGATTCCCCTGTTTACAGCGTCCCACGAGCTGCTGAGGTCAGCACAGATCGATATCCACCTTTTGTTCCAATCTTGGGGATCGTAGGGAGTTTAAAGGTCCAAGCATTCCGTGTCCGATTTCCAAGTTCTGATTAATGTCTTTAGTCGACAATCACGGCAGCAGCGACATTCGGGACATAGCATCGGGGTGAAGGTGCGTCTCATCAGATTGGAGGTTGGTGTACACAGTACACTGCCGAATAATTGCAGGCAACAGGCTACTTACTCTGTGCTCAAATAGCAACGCCGGACGTCGTCGTATGTTCGGTCCCTCGAGTTTACTCCTGTGTTGTATCGAAAGCACCTATAGTCAAAGATCTCAAGTTGTCTTACGTCTTGGTCTCTGAGTGGCCAATTATTACAGCGGTATGTAAGGATACGGCTAGTAGTATCGGGTATATACGCAGTTTGGTCCCGAAACTTATCTCACTGTGGGTCCATAGTGACCTGCAACACCGTGAGAAGTTTCTCCTTGCGCATTCAGCACGGAGAAGAATATTGTACTTCGCATGCCACTTGGCCCAGATATCTGAACGCCGAGACTGATTCCAGAACTGCATCGTTAGTCTGAGTGGGAGTGGTCGATTTGATGGGGCTTGTCGAAAAAATCTTGGTTTTCGACATATCGAACTCTAGTCCAATGGTTTCATTTCAGACTGGACGAAGGTCACGTAGCTCAAAAAGGTCCCGTAGGTGCACTTATTGTACTGTGGCAGATAGCTGCAACGTATTGGCTGAAATCTACCTTGAAGAAACGTCGACTACGACCTACCGTGACGCAATTCAGAGCGAGACCCCGAGCTCGCAAAACAACCAAGTTGTCGCTGGTTAAACCAGAAGACTCGTGGTTGTAGACTTTTATTGAGGTACCGTGGCACAGAGAACGTGCCCGTACCGGCTAAAGAGAGTTTACGTTAAAGCACGAAGGCGCGCGAACCAACGAGCGCGGTAACGAGCAAAATGGATCGAAAGCGAAAAGGTGAAAGTTCTCTCATGAAAGGATGCAGCCGTTTTCGATCGTATAAAATAAACGTCACATGGCGTTAGTACTGAAGTGAAAATGTGAACATACATTTGGGAAAAATGATGTCTGGCAAAAGTCTGATATGGTCCGGTTTTCACCGTGTCATCGGGCACACTACAGCAGCCCCCCGCTAGAAAGTGTGAAACAACTTTCGGTACTGGCATGACAAAAGTGATGCTGTGCTGAGGTGCATTATGTTCACAAAGTTCGCTGTAGGTACGTACTGTTCGCGGTCGGGGGAGCATCGAGAGCAGTGGAGCAGTGGAGTAAAGGTACTCAATGTCGAGTAAGATGCGTTGCCGCGATTGAGATGGGAACAGAATACCAACGAGGATTGCGTTCTGGGTTGACCAGTTGGAGTGCTATGCACGAGCCAAGGACCATACGTTGTTGACCGAGGTAACCGGAATCACACGGGGTTGAAAGGGCAAACCGTTGGATTCCTGGATAACCTATTGAGTCTGCAGCGGTATATGTAGAACCAGAATTCGTGTGGAATGCGTTGGACCATGGTACGTTGGTAGCTCGGTGAATGTGAAAATGAGAGAAACACGTAGTATAGCAACCGCAGATACGCAAATGCGTACACTTTCAGTACCAAACAGCAGTATAAATGCTAAACAACTATCGAGTAGAACTCGTGATATTAGTCGATGCAATGATATTGCTGTTCAATGATTAAGGATCGAGTTTCACCTACGCAGGCAAAAAGATCCCCCAGCCTGAACGTGAGACGGAAGTCTCGTTCGATGATCGAGACAAAGCTGCATCGGGCTGACTTGGACATGAAACTGGGGTCACGTCCGAAGTTGTAACTGTTGCGCGAGGTTGCCGTTCTGAACACGAAATGAGTTGGCGTTGAAAACGCTCGACTAAACCATTAGATGCTGGATGGTAGGCCGCGGTTCGAATGC